GGGGGGGGGGGGGGGGGTGTGAGTCAGCGAGGCCTTGGGAGTGTGTTGGATGTGCCCCCACAAATTCCCTGTTTCTCCTCTAAATCCCTCCTGCCCCCAAAATTCCACCTTTTCCCCCAAATCCCTGTATCACCCCAAAGCCCCTTTTCCCACCAAATCCCTGCCTCCCCAAACTCTTCCCCCCTAAATCTCCTCTGTCCCTCAAACCCCCGTGTCCCCCCCAAATCCCCACTTTGCCCCCAAATCCCCTCTTACTCCCCAATTCCCTTTTCCCCCCAAATCCCTGTTCCCCCCCAAATCCCTGTGTACTCCTCAAATTCCTCTTCCTCCCAAACCCCCCCTGTGCCTCCAAACCCTCTTTCCCCCACAGACCCCATCCCCCCAAACCCCTCTGTCTCCTTCCAATTCCCTCTTCCCCCCAAATCCTGGTGTCCCCCTCAAATTCCTTCTTTCCCTCCAAATCCTCTGTCCCCCCAAATCCCCTCTTCACCCCAAATCCCTGTGTTGCCCCGAAATTCCTCTTCCCCCAAATCCAGCCCCCCCCAAATTCCCTCTGTCCCCCAAAACTCCGTCCCTCCAAATTCCCTGTTTCCCCCTCAATCCCCTTTCCCCTCCAAATCCCCTAAATTCCTTCTTCCCCCCAAATTCCCTCTGTCTCTTCAAATTCCCTGTTTTCTCCCCAAATCCCCTGTGTCCCCAAATCCCCCTTTTCCCCCTAAACCCCCTTTCCCCCCCAAATTCCCCGTTCTCCCCCCCCCAAATCCCACCGCCTCCCCTCGCCCCCCCCCCTCGCCGGCCCCCCGGCCCGTCCCCGCCATACGCGGCCCCGCGGAGCGGCGGAGCCCGATCCAAGGGGGGGAGTTCGGGAAGGGAGGACGCGATGGGAGGGGGCGGCGAGTCGCGATATGTCGCGATAGGTCGCGACCTCACCCCCCCCCCTTCGCCCCCCCCCGACCCCCCGTTCCCGGCCCCGCGCGCGCCGCCCGCGCTCACCGCCAGCGCCGCCGCGCCCCGCCCACTTCCTGCACAGGACACGCCCACTTCCGGTAAAGCCACGCCCACACACCCCCAGGCCCGTAGAGTCGGGGGGCGGGGCCAGAGCGGCCACGGGCAACATGGCGGCGGCCAGGGTGGGGGGAATGGGGGGGAGAGGGGAGGGGAAACGGGGGGGAAAAGAGGGGAAAGGCGTGGGGAAAAAGGGCAGGGAAAGGGAACGGAAAAGGGGAGGAGAAGCGGGAAAAGGGGAGGGAGAGGGGAAGAAAGGAGGATGAAAGGATGTGGGGGGGGGAAGGGGAAAAGGGGCGTAACAGGACAAGAAGGGAGAGAGGGAAAGGGGGAAAAGGAGAGGAAAAGAGGATTTGGGGGTAAGGGGGGAAAAAGGGGGGGCAAGGGAAGGGAAAAGCAGAGAAAAGAGGAAGTGGGGGGAAAGGGGGACAAAGGGAAAGGGGAAAAGAAGGGGAAACGGGGGGAATGGGGTGTAAAGGAGGAAAAAGGGAAGGTGGAAAGCAGGGGGAGAAGGGGGAAAAGGAGGGAAGGAGAAGGGGGAAGGAGGGAATAGGGATTTGGAGGAGAAGGGGGAAAAGGGGGAAAAGTGGGAAAGGGGGAAAAAAAAGGGAAAGAGAAGGAAAGGAGGGAAAAAGGAGGGTCTGGGAGGGAAGGTGGGAGAAGAGTGGGAAAAGGGGGGTCTGGGGGAAAATGGGGAAAAAGGGGATTTGGGAGACTTTTGGGATAAGGGATTGGGGGCAGCAGGGTGTGAGAAGGTGTTATGGGATGTGGCTGCCCCGGGGGGAGTTTGGGAGCAGCAGAGTCTGGGGGTGGTTTGGGATTGGGAATCGTGTCCTGCAGGATTTGGGGGGGTCCCAGCCCTGACATCCCTGGGCATTCCCTGTTCCCAGCTCCGCTCCCTGCACCGGCAGCTGGCGGTGCCGGTGATCCCCCGGCGTGGATACCGCGGGGATTCCCCCCCGGATTCCGGGAAGGATGTGCTGGAGATCCCGCTGCCCCCCTGGCAGGAGCGTCCCGAGGAGCCGCTGGACACCAAGAGGGCCCGGCTGCTCTACGAGAGCAGGAAAAGGGGGATGCTGGAAAACTGCATCCTGCTCAGGTGGGATCGGCTCCAGGCGTGTCCCGGGGGAGCATTAACAGGGAAGAGCCCCGAGAGCTGTGGGGAGGGCTTTAGTGAGGGACTGCACAGCCAAAATCCATGGGATAAACCATCCCAAGGGCTCTGCTGGTTCAGGATCCAGCAGGGTGGATGGAGCGGAGCCAAAATCCTTCGGAGGATGTGTGTAAATCCTGGGATGCGTGGGGACGTCTTCTCCCATCTCCCACCTGTATCCATCCCTTTTCCAGCCTCTTTGCCAAGGAAAACTTGGGCAGGATGAGCGAGGAGCAGCTGAACCGCTACGACCGGCTCATCAACGAGCCCAGTAACGACTGGGACATCTATTACTGGGCAACTGGTGCGTGGGGACACCCCCTTGGGACACTGGGATGGGCCCTGGGACACCGGGATGGCCTCTGGGAGATCAGGATGGGTCCCCAGGACACTGAAATGGACCCCTTGGAGATGGAGATGGGTCACTGGAACACTGGGATGGGCCCCTGGAAGACCAGGATGGGTCCCCAGAACACTGGGATGGACCCCTTGGAGATGGAGATGGGTCACTGGAACACT